AGTAGGAGCAGGAGCAGGAGCAGTAGTAGTAGTAGTAGTAGTAGTAGTAGTAGTCGTAGTAGTAGTAGTAGTAGTAGTAGTAGTAGTAGAAGCAGCAGCAGCAGCAGTAGTAGCAGTGGTGGTGGTTTTGGTGGTGGTGGGGGGGCGGTGGCGGCGGCGGTGGCAGTGGCAGTGGCGTCGGTGGTAGCAGGAGTTGTAGTTGTTGTTTGTTCACTGCAGTTGATGCACCACCACCACCACCACCACGACTGCTGCGACACTTCTCCTCATTGCTACATTGCTACCGCCACTACAACCCACGACAACGGCTACAGTTGCCAGTTCTACTACTACTACTACTACTACTACTACTACTACTGCTTCTCCTGCTGCTTCCACTGCTGACACAACTGCTTCTGCTCCTGCTGCTGCCGCACTAGCACAATGGCGACGACGACCACTACGAACATCGCTACTGCTTCTGCCCCGCAGCGACTGCCACCAACATAAAAGCATGTCTGAGAGAGGCCACCAGGGCCCGTGCTGGGAGCCATGAAGGAGTTTTTGAGCCTCCCGCGGGCTTTGCGATGCTTTGGGTTTTGGCTTTGGTGTTGAATCCCCCTGGATTCGTCAGCTGGAAGGAGGATGGCACAAACGAAGTGACGTGCATAGCGCAGCATGTGTAAACTGCCCTAACACTATCAGTGGCGAATGGGAAGCGAGAGACATCGACACGCTTCACAAAGCATAACTATATCATCTTGTCGACTGCAATCGGAGATGAAACTTTACTTTCCGAGGACCCCAGCCTCCATATTCCTACATGCACCCTGTGCGAGTGACGAGCGCAGATCCTCTGCTGGCGACAGGCTTCCTGTTCACGCACGAAGAACCTGGACCTTTTTGTTAAGCTGCACAGCGAAGGAACTTCTAGATGTGAAACCATAGTGACATGAACGTCATCTTCCTGCTGTTGCTACCATCTCCCATACCTTTAACCTCCACACTGACGACCCATCGAACCCGTCTGATGCTTCAGCTCATCCGCTTCACCCCTGCCTGCCAAAGGCTGTTCGCTAACATCTTTGAAGTAATAGTTCCTCGGCACGGAGTGGGTGGTCCGTCCTACCCCGGAAGCTGCACGTCTGCTTACGGGTCCACACGCAGAGGCTGCAAGGTGATTGCTTCGCCCACCTCCTTGTCAAGTGCCGATGCATGAAAACTTTGCGGTACCTGGTTTTCGTATGTGTAAAGAATTAGATCCTATATTATATGTATGACATGCATCTATGTAACCACACACACACATTGGTCTAATGACTTAGTATAACGACAGATATGCAAAAGCAACTATCTATCTATCTATCTATCGATCTATCTATCTATCTACCTACCTGGTCAGCCCGTGTATCTATCTATCTATCTGTCCACCCATCTATCTGTTTGCCTATCTATCGGTCTATCTATTTTTATATTGTATAGAATTATATCTATATATATATATATGTATGTGTATATACATATATATGTATATACTCATACTTATGAATGCATGTACATACACGTATCTGTGCGTTTGCGTGTACACGTGTCTTTCCTTGCCTGCACCATCCTTCCGTCGGTCGAGCTGCCCCCTCGCCCGCGCGCGTTAGCGCCCCCGACAAGTGGGTAGCGAGTCGTGAATTCAGCGTACTTCAGAAGGCAAGGGTGAGCCGTGACAGTACGATGCGCATAGAGTAAATGTTATCGAAGAAGATTCAAAGGCTCACCGCATGGGGAATTCCCATGAGGATGTCTTACTGGAGAAAAAGCTGCATGCCAGACTTCAGAGGTGAAAAGCACTTCAACCCAACTTCAGTTAGATGGAGGATCCCCCCCAAGGCAGAGAACAGAGACTACAGAACCCAAACCCCAAAGACCCCAGCAACCTTCCAAAGACAAGAAACCTGAACTGAAGTAAAGGGGATGTTTCCCAAGCGGTTGTCCAGTGCTGAAAAGAACTGCTTTGCGTGACTGCCTGTTTGCCTAAACGGCACAACTGAGCTGACAAACAAAAGAAGCCATCATGTTACAAGGCACGGAGTAGCTGGCTGGGCAGTCAGCGCTGTTGGGGCTCTCCCCTTTCATCTACAATAAGCAAGACAAGGCCGGAATTGAACTGCCGAAAGAAACGGCGTCTGTCTTTGCTTTGCTCAGGGCATAGGGCGGGAGCAGCCCTCCCGTCCCGCGCAGGTGCGCTGCCCCATCCATGATTTTCAATGGATGGGCTCTGCTGTACGAGGGAGTTCTAACTGCGTCTGTCTCTCTCTCGCTCTCTCTCTCTGTCGTTCTGTACGTATGTTTGCAACTTCTGTAATGTTACATGTATCGATCAGCGTGTGCATGTGTAGGCACGGAAATACGAATTGGGATGTCAGCAGTGGTTTATGCATGCATGTCAACGTGCGGATGTACGAAATGTGCATACATCTCCGCGTCTGCGCGCTGTACTCTAATCATTGTACTATCTTCGCAAGTAGACCTACATTCTCAGAAAAGTGTGTCCATTTCCACACACAACATGATGACAACGGAACTCATATTTGTGTGGCAGCGAAAAAGCAGCTTTAGCAGTAGCGTCTGCAGGGCAGGCTGTATGAGAATGACCATGGAAGTGGTAGACATGTCGAGACTGCGCCAAACGCTGATGATACCGTGACCACCAAGAAGCTGGTGACTGGTGATGGCAACGACGACACCGATAAAAGTGCTGATGCTGACAGTGTCAATGCTAGTGGTGGCAACAATAGTGACAATAAGGATGCTAGCGGCTACCGATAATGACTGATAGTTCAGTTACGGTGGTGGTCCTGATGATGTGGATGGTGGTAATGACGCTCGACAGTAAGGAACATTGTGGTAATTCAACATCATGATACCATGATACCTGTAGTTAACAGCTGGGCACCCGCAAATTGCTTGCAGCAAAAAACCAGCCAAGTGCTGCAGCCGCGGCACGCTCCCTCGCTGGGAGAAATACGCAAGACACGAAAAGGGTGGTTCGCTATCCTTGGCAGCAGCGTTTAGACATAGTTTGGAGATTCAGCCAGGAGTCTAGTGGGATTTTCTGTTGCCGACAACTGGGGCGAGCAAAATAATACACCAGCGGTGCAGATATCAGGTGCTCGACTCATGCACGAAAAAGGAGGCAAAGCTGCACAAATTCCAATTGCGACCAAGCAGCTTCGATTCACATTGGAAAGAGAGCACTTCCAAACTACGCTTCTAAGCTGGGCCATCACAAAAACAGCAGAGTTTGGCAGCATGCAACAGCTGCAATCGTTCCCTTCGGATTGTACCGTCAGGACGGGTGGCTTCAAGTCTACCCTGGGATTTGTGCAGCAGAGCCAAGGCGACAGGCTGCGAGGCAAGGCTTTTTAATCTCGCCGCGCTTGGCTTCAGATGGGTTGGCTTGCATGGCATGTCCCATGCGGGGACGGAGTGTACATGTGCGGAATTTTGGGGATAAGGGCCCCTGAACTGTGCAATGAAGGCTGGGTCTTCCAGCACTGCAACAGCTAGGCAAGCATCACAATTGAATGCAACCCTGCAAGGAGGATGATCTGTTTCAATACGAGTGGACGTATGAGCAGTACTCGATGTCCCCTGGCGCAAATAAGCTCAGCCGTTGATGTGTCGGATCACAGACACAAGCATCACCAACTGCTAATTACGAATTCTGACCTGTGGATTCAGCCGCGCCAGCTGTCCACATGGGAGTTTCCGAAAAAAGGGGACCCTAGTATAGTACCCTAAATAGTAGGATCCTTATTATAAGGACCCATAAACAAGGTACCCCCTGATTTTCGGAAACTCCCACATGGGTGGTTGTCAAAATTACGGTTCCTTTTTTGGGTCCATAATATAATGCGGCACCTATTATTTAGGGTACCCCAAAAGGGACCCTAATTTTGACAGCCACCCACATGTGTCGCAAGCCCCTTTGCACTCACGGCGGCAGCGGCCTGATGACTGATAGCAGGCGAGCGAGCGAGAGGCCCTGGAAGAGTGAAGCCCGATCCTGGACCTGGGTTTAGGGTTTAGGGTTTAGGGTGTAGGGTGTAGGGTGTAGGGTTTAGGGTTTAGGGTTTAGGGTTTAGGGTGTAGGGTGTAGGGTTTAGGGTTTTGGTTTAGGGTTTCTAAACAAACCCTGAAAATGAGCTCCGACGCACCTTCGCCTGGCCGCTTCCAAAGCTTCCACCTTGTTCAAAGGCACTCCACTACAGCTGCTGGGCTTTTCTGGCCCAGCATACAAAGAAGATCCTCAACAGCATGGCGGTTGTGGAAATGATCTTGTTAACTGAGGGCCGGACGCTGGACCGAAACTCGCGTTTCGACATGACTCGCAATGCGGACACCTCGCAACTACTCCCAGTGAAGTCCCTGACGTGTTCACATTGACTGCAGCTGTCTCGTCGACTTGCCTGCCACTCATCTCTTTCTCGCATTGCCTCCTTCAGATCCTTTACACGGTTGTTCGTGTCAAAAGGCTGCAGACAAGCAGCGACAGTGTCTGACCGGACACCAGTCCATTGAATGACCTACGCGCCGATGACCTAATGACTGTATGGGACTTCCGGGGTTTCCATGCAGACAGCCTGACTGCCGAAATACAAAAAAACTGTTCAGAGAGAGCTCGGTCCTTGCGCAAGCCCTCGCGCTCCTCTTCCAAGGCCCTCACCTGAGCAACAAGGCCGAGACGTTTCGAGGTCAGGCCGCCTTAGTCAAATCGCTTCCAACTCCGTCAAACCTGGGAGCCTCAAGCCCTTGCCGGCTCCAAAGCTCCCCGGAATCGGAACCTGCTTCTTCAGCTTCTCGATCTCCTCGTCCTGCATGAAGACCTCGCAGAGCTCCAAAAGCGGTTTCAGAGGTCTTCTAGTCTAAGAGGAGGTTTTGGTCGGCTCGTTTGTCTTGATAAACTGAGCCTCCGGGGCTGGCCAGCAAACAGAGCTGCAACGAGATGTTGTGACAGTGATGATGCGCGTACTGTGATCGTAGTGGTGGTGACGGCGAAAATTATGGCGCTGATGACCAGGGTTTGGGTGATGATGATGATGATGATGATGATGATGACGATGATGATGATTACGATGATGATGATGATGACGATGATAAAGATAGTGATGATGATGTTGATGATGGTTGTGATGCTTGAGATGGAGGAGAAGGCAAAGGAGGAGAAGAATCAACAGCACCGAAAGCACCTGCAGAGGGACGTAGGCCAAGCATGCACAGACCCACCCAGTGTTCTGTCAAGGCTATGAATTGTTGAGGAGGCAACTACTTTCTAAAACTGCGTGACATGGTTCGTTGGGCCAGCTTGGTCCTGAGTCCTTAGTTTCTATAACTACCAGGTGCAGCTTGCAACCCCAAGCCGAAAGGGAGTTATAAACCACCCTTAGCCCGTTACCTTGCAGTTATCGTGTTCAGCGAGAAGTTGATTCATTGCATGGGACTCTCTGTTTATGGCAATGTGATGGTGTAGTGTGATGGGGTCAAGACACGTTCCGGAAGGTAGGAGTGCTTGGAGGGACCCCGCGAGAGTATCCGGACCAAATCAGATGGTGGGGTTGACCGACGATTCCCACAAATGGTCATTGCGACTTTTTTCGGATGGCGAAGGCTAAAGCCTGTAAGTTTCAAGGCAAAGTGTCAACAAGAAGGAACCATCAGCCTCAACGAAATCATGTTGAGGGCTGATTCATGTCCCTTGCAACGCCTGAACCCCTACATCCTTAACCCTGACAACCCAAAACCCTAAAACCCTGAAGCCTTGGAGATACAAACGTCGTGATCAAACCTGCCTTGGAATTCCAGGCGTCGTGCCGATCTTCGCAGACCTGGTTAGGGTTTAGGGTTTAGGGTTTAGGGTTTAGTGTAAGTTTCATGTTGTTTTGCTGCCTATTTCGGACAGATGCCTACTATTGGGAATCATATCATATACCCCTGTTTGAGGTCGTCGCTTCTAATACTGTACCACAAACTTTAAAATTTAGGGTGTAGGCATATGTATGCACTACTGCTGATAACGGTGACAGTAGTACAGACAATCGCAATCTCTAGAGTGGAGATTGTGCTGCATTCGATAAAGCGCGCTGCTGAACAGCTCAATGGAGAACGATGCAGGTCGGGCTGCAAGCGTCTTTCAGGAGAGGCATGGTAAAAAAGCGACTACAGGAACTTGGATCTTAAGGTCTTCCTTAAGTCTTGTAGATTTTACCTACATCATCTTTTTGATAATACCTAGACAGCGCCTAGCAATCGCTTCTTACCATACTACTGCAAGTAGTAGCCGGATACGTCTTGAGAGACTTCTCTTAACAGCCGACCTTGAGGTCATCCAGGAACTGCTTCTGCTGCAGGAAGTACCAACCCAAGTCTTGAGGATCCTGCTTGCAAGGTCGTCAGGTCGTCACCCCTCGCTTGTTTGCTGGGCTTTCCGGCAAGTACCAGCTTTTTCATGCGGAGCTGGCCCGGTGTCCCTTGCACATCACGTTCGCGCGGAGTACAGACTCTACAACAGTGTGCAGAACTGCATTCTGACTCCAAGCGGTGCTTCCGTCACAGGATTAGCCACCGACGGGGCCGGCACATGGCGCCCGGTGCTCACAGACGTCGTGTCAGCCACTTCTCGTGTCAGGACCTTGCCTCATCAGCTCAGCACGTCCTGCATTCACGAACCGAAGGAGCTTGTCGCTGGGCGCTCGCCGACCGGATTCAGGGCTGCCGGAGATTTCACGGTGTCTTCTAGGGGTTGGAGACCATTTTGAGGGCGAAGAAGAGCGAGCTGGCTTCATCGGATGGACTCCAGTCGCCAGCCAGCTGCACCTTCCGAGGACCTCGGGGTGAAGAGACTCAAGCTGAACAAGCTCAAGCCGGCCGTCACGCCACTCTGCAAACGTTTGACACTTGCAAGCATCGACGAAGTCAAGACAGTCAGGCCTTTCCAACACAAGCTTCTGTGTGTGGAACGCCTCGAGGCTGGAGGAGTGCCCTATCGACACGAAGCCCTGCACGTGCCTTGGAACAGCACCAATGTGCATGGACCGCACATCAACGCCCTACAACCTGCAGCTTCCCCAAAGCGGTATTGCAGCTGGCTGCCGTTGTAGGTTCTCGTACATTGCAGACTGGTTGGACCGGTCCAACGCCGAGGTCGCCTCGTCAAGGATCGCGAACTTCCTCGGCAGGGCTTAAGGTCTTTCTAAGATCTCTGAAGAGAACAGCTTAACCCACTCTCGCATCTAGGGCACAGATTTTTGCGCAGCAGCAGGCGTGCGAAGCCCAAGCGCTGCCGCTCACCCCCAGAAAGGACCGCGTCAAAGTCGACGGGCTTATCCAGGCCTGGCAATGACGGGCATCTGTGCATGAGAGACGCGAGCAGCTGTGTAGAATCGGATGTGCTCTTGTCTCTCTTTCTCTCGCTCTCTTTTACTCTGAGGTGAAGGCCATAACGGTCGTGAAGATAATCCAGGTTGACCTTGACCAGGGCTTCCCGTATAGCGTCGTCTCGAGGGCTGGCCCCACCAGCCTCCTGCAAGGCTTGCATGACAACGCTACATCACAACCGTTGCTATCAAGGCGGGCTGTAAAACTGTGAAAGACGCTGCTGAACCTGCCTGAGGGTAGGTGGCGTTCTCGCGAAGTGTGCCCAAGCATAGGTACGTCTCTTGGGGCAAGAAGAAGGTCTCTCTCTGTGGGCAGCAGCGGATGACACCACTGCCTCCACCCGACTGCACCCAGCATCATCTGCGTTCAAGTCCCGACACATGACGGCACGCTCTATGCAGGTGCAACGCAGAAACCACACCGAAACCGAACCACGACCGGGGCTGGAAAGATCTGACACGTGCTATGGCGGCATTGGACCTGGTGATGCTGGTGCTGGCGGCGCTGGTGGCGGTTGCACAGTAGCGGCTGGTGCTGACTAGGGTTTACCCAGGGATCAAAAGAAGCTGCAACCAGCTCTCCAGCTCAGGTCGTGCACCTCGCCCCCAAAGTCCTGCGATGCTCCTGAGCAGCGAGCTCTTTCCCACGCCGCTGCGGCCGCACAACAGCAGCGACTCACCTTGCAGGCGGCAGCAAAGACAAGACGACTGTCGTCTCGCCTGAAGCATTGGAAACCTGGTGTCAAAGATAGTAGTGAACACCTCGCCTTGTCTCAGCTGGAATGACAGGCGCTCCACTAGCACCGCATGGCCGGACGGTGTCTGAAGCGTCACCTCTTGCATCTGCAGGAGTACCGGCACTTGCTGGGACTCCTGCGGAGCTTAGATTTATGGCAGAAGTCTAGTACGGTCTCTAGCTTAGGCCAGTGTGGCATGGATTCCGTTCCGGCAGGGTTGCGTTTGTTCCAGTGATTTCAGGACTGCCCCAAGCTTCACTACCACCAGTCGTCGGCGTCACCGCACCCTGCACGCACCTAAGTACAAGCAACACAATAGACCACGGCGGGGATCTAAATTTCCAGTCAGAGCGGACCCAGCTGCTTTTTGAAGGAACGCCACTAAGCGTTGCTCATTCGTCCAGCTCTTAGAGGCAGTGGCACCCGCTGCATACTGCACCACAGCGCAGAATGCGCAGATGACCCAGGCCATCTCCGACGCGCTCGTGCCCTACGGAACCATCGTTCAGCGGGACGCCGCCATCGCAGCGGCTCTCGCGGCCTACTACACCTCCCCCCAAACCGACTCGGCCATCGCGGTGGCGGTTCCGACCCGTGAAGCACTGCAGCATCTTTGAGGACCTTTATGTCTCCGTTAAGACTTCATAGTTTTGTCACGTCATGCACATAGCGACTCCTTCTGGATACCCCCAGCATCACGCTCCATCGTAATGGCGGGGCTGTCTGCTAAATCTTTGCTGTCGTCGGACACCAAATCCCAAATCTGCTGAATGCGTATAGCCTGCGCGCCCATGTCGGTGATAGAACCTTATTGTCATGGGTCTTCAGAGCAGAGGAGCTCGCAAAGCCAAAGACACACGCCATGTCTCAGCACAGGACTCATCTGGGACACGAGAGTCGTGAAGGCATCCTCCAAGCCGGACAGGATCGAAAAGGCCTCCATCATGGCTCCGAAATCGATGTCCCCTCTGAAGTACTTGCCTCAGGCTCGGAGTCTGAGATGACAATTTTGCGGACTGCTAGCCCTGGGCCTGCCAAAACTGCGAAGGGCGCAACTCGCACGACGTAGGTGGCAGCAGCCAAGATGATGGAGAAGCTGACGGTGACGCCCAACATTCCTACAGTCAGCAAACCAACGTGACGCAGGCGTGAACGCTGCTCAAGGAAATTAGCATGGCATGTTGACATCTGGTTCTGCCGGGAGTCTGTAGAGTGTGTCCATCAAGCTGTTGAAAAACCGGTCTTGGCAGCGTCCGCGCTCGAAGCTTTCGCCACCGTAGAAAGCTATGGACTCGGCATGTTCCCTCACCTCAACTGACAATGCGGCGATCACGCTTCTCGAGGGAAGCTCTTCCGCAGCAACTTGGCTCATCGAAAGATAAGTTACAAGCGCAGCAAGGGGGCCCAGTTGGACATGCGGGCATGCGGGAGACGGATTCAAGAGCTCACATGTCGGCACCAGACTTTGTCTGTGACGGCAAAGCTATGCAGTCCACGACCCAGGTGCACTCCAAGTGGCCCTCACGAGGCCGAAACGAAACGATGCCTCCTGTGCCAAGATGCGCCGCCTGAGGCGCGTCAGCGGCCCTCCGAACACGACGAAGGTGAGAACGTTCCTGACTCATGGCATGACACAGACCGGAGCATGCTTGGACGGACGACAGCGCAAACGCCAAAGCAATCAAGATGTGCTTCCACAGCAGCTGACAACTGATCCCTGCCTAGCCAAGGCTCAGCACGATTGAGTACACCACCACGAAGTAAAACAGGTCGGGTGAGATCTTGAACAAAAGCGAAGATTGGAAAAGAATCAGCATGACATTCTGTACGAGCAGGGCCAAGAACTGCAGAATCCCGAGGACGATGAGAATCTGCCTCTCGCTAATATGGGGGCCTGAAATGACTAGAATACAGGGTCTGGGGGAAATAGTGTACTGCAACAATGGATCTGTAGCCATTCCGACAACTATATCATGTCCCGCTAAGCTTCTACTCTCGTCGAGGCATCGTATCTTTGCTACTGGTATTGCCACGGCGGTATAGAAAGGATACAAAGGATGCGGTTCGCAGGACCACTGACTGTCGCCTTTATCTTGCAGCCCAGTTGGCGCATCAGTGAACTCGCCACAGTCTTGGGCAATGCGCTGGTCGGGGTTATCCAGGCCCTTGCCCAACAGCTTCAAACCTGCCGTGCGTGCAGTCCGGCAGCACCGATGAGGCAAACAATTGAACAAGTGAGCACAAATCGCTCTGTCGGGCGGGTTGCTCTTTGCTTATCTTGTCGCAGGGGAATGCCACCACAGCCCAAAAGCCCAGTAAAGCAAAAAAGAAGCACTTCACTTCCCCGTAGGTTGTAGCCAAAAGACGCTGCAGGGAGCGAAAAAACACTAAGACACAGAGAGGGAGCAAAGACCGCGAGACAGAGCGACGGGGTGATCGTGGGAAGAAGATTACCAACCTTGAGCAGCCATTGAATCGAATACGAGGTGCGGTAGTACATCCTCGACTCTCCGATGTAGCGGCTCCTGGGAACAATGCACGAACCAGTGGTAGAGCGGCAGCAGGACAAGAAGCTGAAGAGGTCGTAGTTAAAGCCCTAGAACAATCAAGTAGCAGTGATCGTAGTAGCCCAACTGCTTTACTTTCTTGCCTGTAGATCAGACCAGAACCTAGCCAGGAGAGGCATGATGCTGAGCACCACCTGCCGAAGCCATCAGCAGAGTAACTCTGATAAAATTTTGCTGTGTCAGTAATTGCAGTAAGAGGAATATAACCCTAGTAACCTAGTGGCAACGCGCGTCGTAACACGTGCAACATCACAAGCGCAGAATGGCAGACGAACCATGGCCTTGAACATCAGGAGAAGAGTCGAGTAAAACCTCAACTGTTTACCTTAAGAACCCAAAACCTACTTTTTTGTAGGGTCCCTATAAGTCCCATATCAGGGTTTATAATAAGAACCTACAAAAAAGTGGGTTTGGGGTTCTTAAGGTACGCCATGTCAGGGCCCTCCTAGAGCTGCAACTTTGGGCGCGCTTGAAGTCTCTTGAAGGTGTGGAGGGGTCCGTTTTGAGTGATCAGATTGTGTTTAGGGTTTAGGGTTTAGGGTTTGGGGTTTAGGGTTTAGTCCGTTTTGAGTGATCAGACTGTGTACGGTGTGCAGCTTCTCGGCCCTGCTAAATTGAGAATCCGACCAAGTAGCGATTGGGGTTCAGAGCTTCTCTAAGACTTCATGCACTATGAATCGAGTGCAGAGTTTAGGGGTTTGGGGTCCAGCAAGATTCCTTGCTGCTAAGGATCCCGTGACGTAATCAGGGTCGACGGATGTCGAGGGTTTTGATCCCCTCTGTGAAAGTAGCTTTTCTCAGGATCCCAGTGTTGACATGTTCCACATATAGAGGTTTCCATGTTCTTTCGACACCAACACATGCGTTATACCCAGCACCGCGGCGTCCTATGACTGAAATAGCTTAGGGCTCTAGCTTCTTCGGCAGTTCGGACCGTGATAGACCGTAAAGATCCGTGCCCTCTGCAGCCAAGCTACTTCTGTTGGTCTTTGTCATGCAGCGCATTCTGAAACTCACGGAACGTGTTGAGGAACCACATCTGCAGCAAAGAAAAGCCCAGCATCATCACCTGATCTGCAGCCGACGCGTTTGCCATTTAACCCTGAACACACAACACCTCCAAATAACCACCTGTATACTTCAATCTTTGCACTGTACCTACATGCACTCCCGTAGTCTAGGACTGAGACCTTGACCTCATAAGGCTCAAACACTCTGCAGGTGCCAACAACACCAGCCCAATGAAGCACGAGTGCTACCTGCTACCGAACCCAAAGACATCCCAAAGACCCCTCCTGGCGCCAAACCTCTCCGAATCCGATACCCTCAACTCCTGGAGCTCGTGAAGCTGCAGTGGCTAACAGAGCGCACGCCAGAGACCAGGCGACCAATCGGGACGACTTGTCCCGAAAGAAGCCCGAAGCCACCTAGGCAGATTCAGATTGCGTGTTCATGTCGTGCACCCATGTGAAAGCACCTGCAGATTGGGGCACACAACAAGAGATAGAGACAAACATGAATGATCTGCGACTAGATGGCGATAGATGAAACGAGAGTACACCGAGATCCCTGCGAGCACAACGCTGCGCAGAAGTTGCCGCAGACGGAGCTTCTCTACCTCATCACACACCGAGTCCATGACACGGGCACGATGACAAAGCCGTGTCCAAGTGCAAAGCTGAGGACCAGGCAGTCGGTGCATACGAGGGGTCGGCAGTGGTGGCCGTTTCAGGCTGGGCATCGTCCAGCGCTTTGTAAGGAGTCGTCAGCATGCTTTAGGTGGTAGTTTGGAGTCGGAGCACTTCAGAAACCGAAGGCGGCTTGAGCCGGTGGTTGCAGGGCATCTTGCCAAGCTGCGCGTGCTGCCAGTGCATGGCCACAGAGCGTGAGAGATCTTTCAGAGTCTTAGAGGCTCCTGCCAAGGAGGTCGCGGAAGCACCCCCTCCACCTCGACGTGATGCCCACGCCGCTCAGCAACGGCATCACCTCGTAGCCAAGCCGGTCTCGAGATGCCTCGCTGTCCGCCTTGCCCCGCCTCCCTTCATGCCGATGAGCACGTAGCCCTCCTGCGACCGTCCGCCTGACACCATCGAGGTAGCACCCACCTGAGTCATCTGCTTCAACCTGTTGTGTGTGGTTCAGCACAGGCATCACCAAACGAAAAGATACTTGAGCAGCTGACGCGCCGCAGTGCTCGAATGGCCTCAGAGTGCCAACCGAAGGCTTGGACACTCGGACTCGACACCTTAAGCGCAAGTTCCCAGGGCGAAACGGAGCGTTGAAGAAACAAGATTGAACACGAACCCATGCATAAAGCACCTTCCAGCATGTGCTCAGACTCGTGGCAACATGTGCCAACAGGCTAGGTAGCACACCAGACCGGGTCACAGTTGAAAACCGCGATGCAGCGGCTGGTGCTCATACTTGCAGTTTTCAGATGCTATACAGTCCGCAGAGCTCCTAGCCGTCTCGAAACCTTAGAGCCACCTTCCGAAAATGCCCACCCGTTTCCGGACAAATAGCCTAAACCCTGAACCCTAAACTAAGAACACATAAACCCTAAAACCCAACACCAGGAGCCATCAACCTTAAACCAAGAACCCATAAACCCAAATCCCAAAACTAAGAGCCCACAATTGCTAAACTTGGAAGCCATAAACCCTGAAATCCAAAACCAAAAGCCCACAAACCCTAAACTAAGTCGCCTAAACCTAATACCTAAAACTCAGCGCACATCAACCCTACACTAAGTAGCCATAAACCCTAATTAGAACCCAAAACTAAGTGCCCATCAACCCTAAACGAAGTAAAGTACCCATAAACCCCGAACCAAGTACCCATAAAAGCCCTAAACTTCCTAAACCCTAAACCCCAAAACCCTAAAACCCTAAACCCTAAAACCCCAAACCCTAATAAGTAACCCCAAACTCCTGTGCAATTATCCTCGGACTCCCGACTGCGCCGCTCAGCGACTGAAGCCCGGATCCACGGACCGCCACGAGCACGATCCGGCCCTAAGCAAGTGAGTCTCGCTACAAAAAAAAGGATTTGGGTGGTTTTCAAAATTATGGTCCCTTTTGGGGTCCTTATTATAATACGGCACCTATTATTTGGGGGTACCCCATAAAGGGACCATAATTCTGACAACCACCCATTTAGGGTCTTGTATTTCCGTGGTCGCGTGAGGCTCAGAAGTGTTCTGGGGCGGGCTTGGGGTGCAGCTCAGGGAGATTGTGCGTCGCGGGTCAAAGTCCCTTAGGATTAATTCGAATCTCCGCATGCGTCCATATACTTCTTGGTTTGTTCGGCGCAACTTTCCGTTCGATGCAGCCCAGGTGTGGCGACATTGTTGCTGTGCTGCCACATCTGCTTGGACTGGGCCTTGGAGAGGACCTGCATGGTTGGATGAACCTCCAAACTGAAACGGCAAATGCTCAACCAGAGATGCCCTAGACCTCCACACCGAGACCCCTACGTAAACCCTAAACCCTAAACCCCTAAACCCCTAAAATGCCCAAACTGCAGAACCTTTTGTGCTTACGTCTCCTGCTCTTTGGGGCCCCGGCCTCCGGCAGCGAATTGAGATCCGTAGCCAGCTGGCTTACGGCCTGGTCAGCGAAGGCGATGGGGCACTGCCTTAACCCACCAGAACCTACTTTTTTGTAGGATCCCTATCAATCCCACATTAGGGTTTATCATAAGAAACTATAAAACAAGTGGATTTTGGTAGGTTACGGTATACGTATAGGTACGCACACACACACACACACGCGCGGAGCGCACAGACACATACGAGCTTCCATTCATCCACTATACACGCTTCCACCAAGGCTGCGGCAACATTGCCACCGGAAGCTGTGTCGTAGGACCTGGTGACCCGGTCATGCTGCTGTGCGCTTCATGGACAGGCAGTGAAGGTTTGGACGTACCAAGTACCTTTACTTACAGCTAAGAAGCGGTCTCTGTCGTGTGTCTCACTCCTTCTTCTGACCTTCCTCTTCCCCGCCCGTCGCACGACACTTCATTTATTGCTGACAACTTCTCCCGGCATCAAGCCGAAACGCGTCACTGCACAACCGCATGATAAAAAAAAAACATGTGCTGAAGGCCTTCAGCACGATAGAGTACAAGTGGAGCGCCCAAATATCAAGATTCGAATCGCATATTATGAGGACAATCTCAGGAGACACTTCGGAAAGTGCTGCGTGAGGAATGTGCACAGAAAGGGGCGAATTTCGTAAGACGGCACTTGACACAGGGGAATACCCTGGTAGGCAGTTAACTGTCATGAGATGCGTATTAGGATCGTATTCGGCATCTGGCGCACAGCCTCCAATGTGCCAGAGGTGGTTCGCCGTCTTCATGCCAAGCTCTGTGCTCTTGCCGCCAAAGCAAAAAGCAATCGCCCTAAACCCTAAACCCTAGACTCAAAAACCCAAATAGCAGCTCAAACTTCCGCTCCGGGCCCCGGACATCGCCGAGAGGATCTGCTGAGAGTCCGGATCCAGCGTGACGATGTTGAAGCCACGCCTACGGGAACGCACCCGAGATTAGGAACAGAGAGGTGCCAAAAGGAAGGGCAAACCTCTGGTCATCTTGACTTGCAGCAGCTGCAGCTGTCGGGTATCGAAGCATTGGTTGGGGCCCTCAGCTCAGAGGCCAAGGCTGGGCATTGAAAGCTGTGCGTTCAATAGTAGCATTTGCAATTGTCGTCATGGCAGTCCCCGGTGCTTATCATAATGTCTGATAACAACCACGTAAACAGACACACACACACACACATGAACGAATAGAAAGATAAACAAACAAACCAAGTTTAAAAGATGATCCATCTTGAACAACGGCCATAAACAACAGCGAAGTCGGGTCAAAAAACACATGCACAACTACAGAAGTGAATACTGCAAGAACCCAATATCTGCTACTACTATTTAAAAAAAGACAATGTCATAGCACTCATAGTCAGGTCATCGTCGTCGCAGTCGTTCGTAATAACATTCGTAGTCGTCCTCCTTCTGCTACTCCACCCACGACTACTACTGCGACTGCGACTGCGACTGCGACTGCGACTGCGACTGCGACTGCGACTGCGACTGCGACTGCGACTGCGACTGCTACTGCTACTGCGACTGCGACTGCTACTGCGACTGC